TGAAATTTGAACTATGAAACTTTTTAAAGATACTTTTTTGAAAACTAAAATCGAATATTTGAAATTTGAAATGTCGACCAAGGAAACAAATTTTTAGATTTGACCTGATCTACTAACTAAAGTTTGTGTGGTACTGATAAACTCCAAGAAGAGCGAAATTGGAAATCAGTTAAAATTTTCACTAATTCAAATTTAGAGAGTACGAAGTTCCACAGAAATTGAGTTATATTTACATAATTTGGCATCTTGAAAATCGCCATATTTGATCCGCCATTTTAAATTTTATATTTTTTACTTCAAAATTGGAAAGAGCATCCCAAAAACCTCTACATACCAATTTTTGCGAATATCGGATCGATAGTTTCTGAAATACATGCATGAAGGCGTAAAGCATCAAAAGATGTCTTTCGTCCTGAAAAGGTTAATACAGCTGAACGATCAGACGATATTTTTGGGCACGATAACAGGCACTGAAAGAAAAAATAGTTGGAATAACTATAATCTCACTATATTTTATAGTCATTTTGGCCTCAAACATATATTTATAGTTCATCTAAACACGAGAAGATATAGCAGAATGAACACACATTTATAGTCACCATCTTATTACTCAATGTGTATAGTAAAGCACGCTTTGGGAATAAAGTTACATGTACCCATATTTTCCAAATATTCCAATTGTATTGACTATATAAAATAGTTGATTTCTCTTACCATTTAATATTTGCTACCTTACTATGTTTCAAATAATTATTTATTATTTCAAATAATTATAATTCTTGATAAAAGTTTTACGCGAGTCAGTTATACTATGCTTATATTGTAAATATTACAAACATTATGGTGACATTTACTATAAAAATGATATTCCTAACTATAATCTTTTTACTATGCCATTATAGTTCCGAATATCATACATTTTTCTCTCAGTGGGGATATCGCGTTTCCCGTCACCATTCAGCGACGCAAAACTGAGAGTTTTTTCCCCGCGCAACAATCGCAAGTTTTCGCAAAACCGTTTAAATCGAGACGACTTCTCGTTCGCCCGCCATCTCACGTTACCGGCTCGGCGCGCGTGTGTTCGCGCCGCCGTCGCAGGTCGCGAAACGAAGCGACCTGCGGGCGAGTGCGAAGGGATGCGCGGGTGTGCGCGCGCTGTGCGTCGCTATCGCGACGTATCGTATCGTGGCCAGGTATCGTGTGTCTCCCCCCGCGGCCCGGCGGAGGGCCGAGAGGGCCCCTGGCACACAACGACGCGGGCCGCGGCGTTATGAATGCGTGGAATTTATCAATGGACGGCGCGCCAATGATAAATCGCGCGTGCGGTACGTATCGCGACGGCACCGCGCGCTCTCGCCACCGCGCGGCTCTCTCGCCATTCGCACGAATGGACGAGAGGAGTCGAAGGGAACGAGGGGAGGGCAGCCAGGCCGGCCGAAGCTGGCAAGGGAATGTCTTCCTTCGACGGGCTCCTACCGTGTGCGCATCGCGATGCCGCTCGCTGACAAATCGGACCCTGTTTTTACGTACTACAGCTGTGTGCACTGCGCGCTGCGCGCGACTCTCAGCCGGCGGTCAACGCCGCGTAATTGTGTGTACGCTTCGTGCGCTCGTGTTTACGCGCACCGTGTGATACGAGGAGGATCGAGTGAGCCAATCGAGGAGGGACGACGTGCTTGATACTTCCGTACACGGAAAAAAAAGATTTGCTAATATATGGACGACTAAAAAGGATTAGCTGCAGGAGCAAATTTTCTTGCTTTCATAGCAAAGTTATTTAGTTGTGATAGCTAAGAGATTTGCTAACATATGTATTAGAAAGCAAGAAAATTTGCTCCTGCAGCTAATATTTTTAGTTGTCCATATATTAGCAAATCTTTTTTTCCATGTAGACGAGTCGCGGCATTTTTTCACGATTAGGGTATTTTCTAATACACTGTAAAAAGTATGTAAATGTAATTCGATACTAATGAATCATGTACTTGGACCATTTTACTAATTTCATATATTTTAATTGAGTTTTACTTTTTATAATTTTTTTGATAAAAATGTTTTGTTAGGTTGTTTTTTTACACAACCATTTATTTAGAGATTTTTAATTGAAGTTTTCGTTATGTTTTTTTTATAGAGAGTTAAGTACAATTTACTTGTTTTTATATACTTAGTGTAATTTTTTATCTTTGTAGGGTCTTTTTGTATTTATTAAAATATTTTCTAATACACTATAAAAAAGTATGTAAATTTATATAAATAAAAAGTGTATAATTACGCAACAGATAGCAAAAATTTGTTAATTTTTTGTTTTAAGATAAATTTCAACCTATTAATTATGCAATTTTACAATTATTATTTATGTAATGCACTGTAATTTTTTTACAGTGTACCGATCGCTAAAGATTAATCGGTAATTGAATTTATTAAACAGTAATTTATTAACTTTACATTGCCAATGATAGTAGTCTGTTATTGCCAATAACTAACATTGGCAATCTAGAAATAACTCCCAACTAAATAATAAATAAATTGGCAAAGATCGGGAAAGATTAGTTAAATAGAAAACGACGTTCTCTCAATTTCTTCTTGGATATTATTCTTTTTTTTTATATGATACCAATTCCTTTGGAACAACACAACACTATGTTTTATCTTAACTTTGCTTTCAAACTGTCAACAACGTCGACGCGTCCCTCGTAGATCATCCCCTATCCGAGCGTCCCAACGGCATTTAACTCCAATGATCCATCGAGCACCGGCGTTCTAACTCTGGGCAAGGTCGTTGACGATATGTCTCAGAGGTGAGCGCGGAAAAATCCCGTACACTTCGCACGAATTATCGCGCGCGCGTCTCGCTCCTCCGCGGCGAGGTGAGATCTGAACGAGCGGGTATGCAAAAGTAACGTCGCGCGACAAGCGGAACGAGAAGTGTCGCGACGCATCGCGCGAGCGTATTCCGATAAGCCGAAAGCACGGATCGGCCGCGCCTTATAAGCGCGCGCGAAACGGTCCCGGCCCGGATCCGTCCGCGGGCGCGAGCTCGGGCGAAACGGCCGACCGACATCAACGGGCGAATTAAAAAGCGCGAGTCCGCGAGAAAGTGTATTCGTATGCTCCACAGCGAGAATGCCTATCTCGATAAAGTGAAGTTCAAGGATTCGCGAGCGCTCGCACGCCGCTCGTCGCCCGAGTCGCCCCGGCAAATTAAAGGGCGCGCCGCGTCGTGCCGATAAAAGCAAGAGTAAAAGCATTCGCAACATTTTATGCGCATCTCGAGACCCGAGATCTGGATGGTCGTGGACGTCTTGAGATGCGAGAGAGGAAGAGAGAGAGGGCGGAGAGAGAGAGGGGAGAGAGAGAGAGAGAACCCACCAGCATGTCTAGTAGCATCTCGTTTGTTTCCACGAGGCGAGACGACAGCCCGCATCCTCGCTGCGTCTCCCTTCCGTTCCCAACCCTCCGTTCTCGTGCGCGCGCGACAACCCACGCAATGAAGAGATTCATAAACGGGACAGCGAGGCGATCCTGTCGCATTGTTTGTGTCTCGTTTCACAGCGGGACCGGAAGATTTCCCTCCCACGAACGGTGCGTGGGGCCGGCGTGCCGTTTCGGTTGCGACCGCGATATAAAAATCATCTCTCCCCCTCTTTTCTTCTCCCGAGAGTTTGAACGCTCGGACGATATTTCCTTACGAATCGATTCAGGATCAGGGGATGACAACGAGGTGGACCGGGACGTCGCTTGCCGCGACAGCGGCCGTTTCAGCTTGTGTGATGCGTTTTCGACCGGACGGAACCAGTATTTATCGTGTCGGAACGAGGGAACGCGGCTCGTCAGCGGAGGAAAACGCCGCGGAACCGGCGATATCGCTCACCCTGACAGGGCTGGAAACGCCGAAGGCAAAAATACACGGCGTGTCTCGCGTCCTCGTAAAGAGACGAAAATATCTGTTCAAGACCACGAGCGAGAGGAGAAGCCAGGGACGGGATATGGCGCCCAGCGCGTACCATGAATTTTACACACGCCCTCGTTCCTCTATTCTGCCTTGTCCCAACGGCTACCGTGGAAGTTTTGATCGACCATACCGCGCGCGGAATGGCCGCAAAGTGCGGGTGATGGCAATGGGATTAACCCTTTCGACCCCGTTGGGAGTTATACATATGTGTATGTGTGTGTGTACCACAATGAGATAAAAATTTACCTTTTGTGTTATTTATTAAAATAAAGAATTTTGAAATTAAAATTTATATTGCACACGAGGAGGAAATATTGTAGTAAAAATTATGTTAAGCTTCCATTTACATGTTGAGTATTACACGGAAAAAAGGGTTTGCAGCAAACTAATTTGCTGCATATAGACAGTTAAATATAATTTGTTGTATTAGCTACTTTTTCTTTGCTGCAGGAACCTATTTCCTTGCTATGATAACAGAAAAATTAGTTCCTATAGTAAGAAAAGTAGCTAACACAGCAAATTTGCTAGAGATAGACAACTAAACATAATTTACTGCTTTAGCTACTTTTTTTGTTGCAGGAGCAGATTTTCTTGTTATCCTAGCAAGGAAATTGGCTCCTGCAGCAAAGAAAAAGTGGCTAACAAATTATGTTTAGTTGCCCATATGTAACAAACTTTTTTTTCCGTGTATATTAAATATTTTACTATTAATCTAGTCGACACCACCAGATTTATGTGTGGGACGATCCTATTGTTCTTTTCGTGTACATACAGATAAACTGAGAGCCTCCTTTTACAAAATCGGTTAGAAATCAGTGTGCCAACGAAGCATAATTTACGTTTCTACATGTAATGACATACACATGTTTGAAATATCTCAAAACAAAAGTGAGATCGAAAGCATTAAGAATAACGCGAGCGACAAGGAAACGAAGGATTACGAAGAATTGTTATTTATCGGCACAATTATACGACGTTCCCCGATTGTTGTTCAAATGATTTGACTGAAAGCGATGTTGGTTGGACGTCAAGCGTGATGAATACACAACAGACTCAGCACCCATCTATATCCCGACGATCGCGGAGTGAACTATACGCGCGATATTTCTGTAAACGCCGGTCTCGTTGGTCCTCAGCGGACGTTCGTATTCATAAATCGCGAGACGACGAGCCAGACGGACGTCTTCCGGGTCAATGGCATTATTACCACGACTGCCGAGAGCTTATGGACTCCGCCGTGAGGTAAAACAATCCGCCGATCGCGAGGGATCCCTCGCTGCGCCGAAATATTCATCTCGCCACTTTACGAGAGCCGTTTTACGCGCCATGCAACGAGGCAAGTGATGGTCGTAGTGGTATTTTACTGCATCGTTCTATGAGCGAGATTCCTGGCCGAGACGAAATTTTCATTTTGACTCGCGAATTTCGTTGAACTTGAAAGATCAATGGAGAGAATTTCGTGATACAATGTTATGCAAAATATTTTTCTATCCTGACGAAATTATGTTGACTATGATCGTTCTCCGCCCATCGAAGCTTAAAGGAAGCTTCGGAATTGTCTAATATCTGGGTTTAGCTCAATATTTTCTATTTGCATTTTACCCTTCAGTAGGCGCGTGTGTTTCTTTATCTTACTTTAGAAATGTTTGGTTTATCACTATAATAGATGTATATTCCACTAAGATATATACTTCTTTTTGAGAAAATACATACAATATAAATAATAGATTATATATATTATAAAAAACACACGTGTCTTTGACTGTTGATGAAATAGTCTTCAAATTACATCTATATACATGCACCTAAGAAAGAGTTAATCTTAATTATTAATCTCAATAAGCAATGTATCGATGAATCATATAACTCCAAAATTTAATTACAGTTTGCGGATAACATAAATAAATATTAAATAATTAATATGAATAAATAAGTAACACGGTTAAAAATAATATGTTCTGGCTTTCTGGCACCCAATTCCTGATTGCATCGAATTTTTCATTGTAACACTGATATATATTGCATCGGAAAATCGCGTATTAATTAACGCGATGCTAGCGAGAACACGATTAAACGTTGTAAGAGTCAACAAAATATATCGATCACTTAACGGAAATTCGAATATACCACACACGCCGCGTGCCGGCCTGAAACATAATGTTACACTCAAGCACAGACGCTCGAGAATGAAAACAATGAGCGAAAAGCGCAAAGCTATCCTCACTAATCCGCCAGCCGTCGTCGTTAGTCACAACAATCAATGTTATTAAAACTATTCCGTATAAAAAGACAGAAAACAAGAAACAGGAAGCAAAGAACACATTGTAGATCAGGCTTTATAGTTAATTATAACATTAATGTACTTGTTTTTACTCAAGTAATGTACTTACTATCATTCAATTTTTACTGGAACGCGTATTTCACACTATGCGTGTCGCTCTCCGATGCAAAACACAATGTAACGTTACAAAGTCGACATTAGCCTTCTCAAAGATCTGAGATATTATTCCGTATACGCTTACCGACAACTGTCGGATCGGTAGACGTCGTTGCGCAGCTTTTTTAAGGTAAATATACCAATCAAGGCTCGGACATGTACCAATCTCCGTACATTGTTATTATTTTTACATTTGAATATGAATATTTCAACTTTCAACGTACAATATATACATATTGATGTACATACATTTAATATTTATATTTAGTACATTTAATATTAATATTTATATTGATATACATACATTTAATATTTATATTCAGTGTACGTTGAAAGATGAAATATTTAGAGAAATATTCAAAATAATAAGAGTGTCCGGAATTAGGTACATGTCCGGACATTGCGACATTTACCTTATACCATGGAAAAGCTGCACAACAACGTCTACCGATCCGACAGTTGTCGGTAAGCGTGTGCGGAATAGTACTTCAGATCTTTGAGAAGGCTAATGTCGACTTTGTACGTTACATTGTGTTTTGCGTCGGAGAGCGACATGCATAGTGTGAAGTACACGTTCCAGTAAAAATTAAATGATAATAACAGTACATTACTTAGTAGTAAAAATTAAATGATAATAACAGTACATTACTTAGTAGTTAAAAGTTAAGTAATAGTACATTACTTGAGTAAAAACAAGTACATTAATGTTATAATTAACTGTAAAACCTGATCTACAATATGTTCTTTGCTTCCTTTTTCTTGTTTTCTATCTTTTTTTAGTTTAAGGTTTAAGGTTTGAGTCAGAAAGAGATAAAGAAAAAGTAATAGGAAGCAAATAACACATTATAGATCAAGCTTTATGTCCAATAAACAAAAAACATTATAATAATATTATTATGACGTTATTCGATAATATGTAATGTTTACAACAAACTTTGACGCTGATTTTGAGGTTGCGTTAACGTTGAAATTACATATGATCACATAAAGTTGTAAGTAAACACTGCACTTACATCCTTTTAACATTCTGGTGTATATGTGTATCCACTTTCTCAGTAAATACTGGCTATATAAAAAAAAGTTTACCCATGACAAGTAATCTAGCTAATATCTGATCGCTTTGTTTGAATAAAAAATAGTGTGAAGTATGTGTTGCAGTAATAATTGAATGATAGTAAGTACATTACTGGAGTAAGAATAAGTACATTAATGTTATAGTTAACTGTTATGCCTAGTAAACAAAAAAACATTACAATAATATTATTATGACGTTATTCGATAATATGTAATGTTTACAAAAAACTTTGACGCTGATTTTGAGGTTGCGTTAACGTTGAAATTACATATGATCATATAAAGTTGTAAGTAAACACTGCACTTACATCCTTTTAACATTCTGGTGTGTATGTGTGTGTGTGTGTGTATCTGCTTTCTCAGTAAATACTGGCTATATAAAAGTTTACCCATGACAAGTGATCTAACTAATGTTTGATCGCTTTGTTTAAATAAAAAAATATGATATTTCATGGGGCACTGCATCATTTCGCTTCGTACGTTTGTTCCTTCGTTTCGATCCCATAGCGATCACACCCATTCTTGTTCTGACCGTGCTCTTTGTTGCTTTAACCTCGATGATCGAAGAGGAACTGGTGATGGCAATGAACTCTGACGATATCTTTATAGATCTTGCTAACAATATATTTTTGCATCACTTAAAAAATATTGTAATGCCATATTTGCTAGCAAATGCTGGAATGACGCAACAAAAATCGATATATGATGGATATTGTTAAAATGTATATTAGTGAACCAGTGACCAGTGATTTCAAATTTTTAACTAAACTTTGAAGTAATTATAGTAAACAATAAATTAATTAAAAAAATACAAGCCATAAAACAATTAAATCGATCATGAAAAATTTTATGCTCATCGTTTTCGTTAGTTTAAAATATTTAAATTATTTATATTTCAAATTGAGCATTTTGACTTCGGTTGCTCATGACATCATTAAACTTCATTGCACAGCAATACACACAGAAAGTGGATTCTTAAACTTAAAACTTCGCTCTATCAAATGACAAATGCCGACTTTGTAAAGGTAAATGCGAATTATAATAAAATATCCATTATAATTCTTATTTTTACCTGTGTTTCCAAACTTATGGAGGACACTGTAGATATAGGTTCGAATTCGAATTCGACGCTTCAACTGTTCGTATATCTCATAAGATACGCGGATCTGCAGCGTAACCCGACTTTGAAGTGTCATGTTTATCCGTTATCCGAATAATCGCGTACCCGGCTAGTGTCAGGTCCGATTGAATATTGAAACCCTAAGTGCACGCACGCGACTAACGCGCGCGCTACTCATCCGATCTGTCACATAACTCGGGGTGGCTTTACGACGTTCCTCGGCGCCGCGTCCGCTGCAAAACCGCGGACACTCGTAAAGACCGACGCGGTTCCCTCATCGTGAATTAGATTCGCGATTTTCTCCGGTAAGTCTTCCCCATGCCTTTCCTCCTTAGTCGTGCGAGAGTTCTTTTCGCTCTCTAAGTTTTCACCGGTCCCATCGTCGCCGTCGTCCGTTTAGCTCGCGCGCTTATTGCGACCGCGACGAAGCGCCAACGCGATTCTTCTCAGCCTCCTGCCGCGAGTTTCAAGTTCGCGGTGCGAACGAAGAAAGCGGACGAACAAAGGGACGAGAAGCTCGCTGATCGACGCACCAATTCGCGAGATTGTCGTTGGGGGTTTGTCTCATTAATTTTTGTCTGTAATTTTTGAATTGCCGGCGCGCGATGCGGAATTTGAGCAAGCATTGCGTGTTGACTTCGTATGTTACAATGTGTTTTGCGTCAGAGACTGACACGCATACTGTGAAGTACTCCAGTAAACATTGAATAATTAAGTATATTACTTGAGTAACAGTAAGTACATTAATGTTATAGTTTCCCGCTCAAAAATGCAATTGTTATGCATAGTAAACATTACAGCAATATTATTATTCAATAATATGTAATGTTTAAAGCAAATTTTGATACTGATTTGGAGGTTGCGGTAATGTTGAAATTATATATGATTATAACGTTCTAAGTAAACATTTATATTTTTTTCTATCTGATTTCTGGAAATGTGTAGAAATCTTTCTGCAAACTTTTTCGACATTTTTAAGCTTCCAAATGCAAATGCAAAGGTAAAACAATGTTCTTCAAGATTTTTCTGTTTGGAGCATCCACACTTTCAGTATATACAAGATGCAGAATATTTGGATTAGACAAGTATTACGCTAACTGACAGCTTGGGATTTTACATTAAAAATTTTTTGTTCGTTTTCGTCACATATCGAGCAATGCTCCTATTTAT